TTACTCCAATTACTTTAAAAATCAAAGTAAAAGATTGCAGATAAGCAAAGTGCTAATTTGCAGGAATGTGGAATTACTTAACATAACATTAGTGGAGGGATAAAGCCAGCAAAAAAACAAACACTGTTTAGGTATGCGAAAAAATCTTACAAAAACCAACCCAAAGCAGAGCATTATTACTTTAGTTGAAAAAAAATTTTTGGATAAAGTGCTCTTAACAAAAAGCTGAGAAAACTAAATCCCTCCAGACAAATCGTTATGCAAATGAAGGAAAAACTGAGCACTCAAATTACAAGGAATTTCAATTAAAAAAATACCTGCTTAACTTTAAAATGTTATCCAATGTGACAAAAACCAATACAAGAATTGCATTAAAACACGAGGCCAACGGTCTTTTAAAGCTTCAGTAAGCTGCTCAGGCACCTTTTCCCTCATACATTCTACTTTTTATACACTAGATATCTTAAACAGGGCACAATCAGTTCCTGTTTTGTGATAACATTCTCAAGGATGAAACTCATCCCTGTAAAAATTGCTTGTGATGTACTTATCAGTGGTTAAGCACACATTTATAAAGTCTACCAAATTGCAATATAAAATCAGTTTGGACAATTCTGAGTATCTTCATTTGATGAATCAATTCATAATTTAGAAACTTAACTCATTCAGAGTTTTTAAAAGGACTCAGTTACTGGAGACACTGTGGTAAATGTCCAGTGGCCTCGCAGGCCTTCCACATTACCCAAAATGTGATGTTTTCTTCTAAAAGGTAAAGCTGCTGGGTGCTAGTTTATAATACTAAATCTCAATCTTCAGGTCAGTGTCAGTAGGCAGCAAGGATCACCTCTGTCACTCCAGCAGAAAGAGGCATGTATGTACAGTCTACCACTGTAGACACACATCTGTAAACTTGCACACTAATTTTAATCCTAACAAGGAATTTCAGTGTCTTAGTGGTGTTAAGTTAAAAGGATGGTTCAAGCATTGTGTCCTTTTGTTCTTTAGGGTTACAATAGCTTATTGGAAAAGCCAGAGCCTTCTGGATCTGTGAGGTAGTAGGCTTCAACCCTCATTCAGGCATAGATCACACTTCTCCAAAGTTGGTATGGCCTGTCTCCTTGGCATGTTCCCTTGCTTCTGCTTGTCCAGTTAATCCTTTCTGACATACCATGCATCTCAGGGTGAAGCGGTTGACATCAGTAAACTGTCTCCTTTTTCTAGCTTCATCTGCTAATTCCAGTGCTTGTACAAGAACAATATCATCATTAGAGGAGAAAATGGTCAGAGGAGGTGTGTCTGGATCAGGGAAGTTTCGCTGAAGTGGATCATAGTGGATGCCATCATAAATAAGCAGAACCCTTTTGGTATATCCTGCATCTTCCCCAAAACGATCAATTCTTACTGTCTGTGTATCCACTACACATATTTCACATTGGTAAAACTTGGACAAAATTGATATCTCTATTGCTCCTCCCCAAGTGTCATCCCTTTTGATCCAGTCACAGTACTCTTGATTTGTTTTTCCCAGTATTGCCTCACTATAGAAGTCTGGGTCACTTGCTACAATTTGTGCTATGAGGCGTCTCATCTCAGGGGCACAAGCTGGATTCAAGACTCCTCCTTCAACGACATAGTACACACTGGTGAAGAGGCAAGAGTTGTCTGCTGGGACCACGGTTCTGGCAAGCACAGGCAAAGTTTCCCTGACGTAACTAGAAGCACCATGTTTAGTAAGTGAAGGTGAATTTTTGGGCCTGGTTTGGTCTTCTTCAACGATCAGCATGTCACCTGTTAAAAAAAAAAAAAAAAGAAGAATCCAGAACTGCAGAGAAATTACAGATGAAACTGAGTGTTCACTAGCCAAGTCTGTAAATTACAAATTGAAGGAGTTAAAGCATAAACTGGGGTTACTAAGAAGAATACAGCTTTGCAAATAAGTGACCAGTAACAATTTTTGTTCACTGAATTTTCATGAAGATGAAAAAAGAACAAAAAACACTTCGGGTTGTATCCCAATTTAGTCAAGGGGCCTGGAGTATACAACTTGAGGCTTACTTAAAAAGATATATTCAAAAACAAAATTTCATTTCCCTATACAGTATCTTACAGAAGGTGCTCACTACAGAGTAGGCCGCTAGGGGGTTCTCCTTCTCCGGAAACGTATCTACTCTATTGAGTGTTTACAGCGTCCTTGATACAGCAGCTGAAAGCTTTTAATTATCAACACTGATGTTCAAGTTTTAATATGCCACAGAAATAAACTGCTCCTGGTTAGAACTTGAAAGGGCTTTCAGTGGGTGTTTAAAAGCTAACTCTAAAATGAGTAAGCCTGTCAAACGAAGCATCTATGAAGGCGACTCCAAAAATGAACCAAGAAAAAAAATATCCTGCACCCTTCAGACCTGATCGATGATATAGAGAAAAAGAGACATAAATAAGGACAGGGAAAATAGGCCCTACTTCTTTTTATTTTTGTGAACGCCGAGGGAAAACAAAATGAGATAGTTTCAAAGCCGACCAGAAAGCGGATTGGGGAAGGGGGACTTCAAGGCTGTGAGTTGCTTTTCAAGCCTGTGTAAAGAACAGGAGTTGCTAGAAACTTGCCCCGGCTTCCGTCAGAGTTCTCTGTTCTTTGATCTATCCTCACCCCTGGTCTCAAAGCCCCAGTTGACCCACAGCCACCGTAACTGGCTTTCTATTCTCTCTCACACCCCTCTCCGTCCTCCCGGGACTTTCCCTGGTCCCTGCCCTGATTCCTTACCAGATTGGATGGGCAAGTCCTCCAGAATGGTATCCCCATTGCTGAGATCCAGGCACTCGGGAGGGTATCCGACTAGGATTCGCTGACCGCCGGGGGCGATCCCGGTGATGGCGGCAATTTGGCCCTGGAGTTCCCGCACCCGGGTCCGGTTGGACAGCCCCTGCAAAACATGGGTGCCGTCCTTGGCCTTGCAGCGGAGCCGCCACATCGTGTCGGTCCAACTGCCCACAGGCCAGACACCCGCGGGGCCAGCTTTGGTCCCGGCAGCAGATTGAGAGAAGCCGCCGGGACAACCAGGCGCCGGGTGGACTCCAAAATGGCGACCTTTAGCGGGGCCAAACATCGCGAGAAGTTGATGGTGGTTCCAGTTCTCGCGACGCTTCGGGCGCGGTTTCTGCCTTAGCACCTTAGCAAGCGCGAACACTTTTAAAGTGATAACAATTATTTTCCCCACCCTCAGAACGAAGATGTAAACCTCCGTATTCCTAAAGGACCACGGGCCTTGCTACCTGTAGAGCGAGTGAGGTGCCCTCCGCGTGGGTAGCATATATGCTCAAAGAGGAGGGCGGGGGAAGGAGTTCCTGAATGAAGCCGTGGAGATTGGAATGTGACCTTGCACTTAATGAGGTCGGAAATTATTAAATCGGGTCTTCCACACTACACCCAGACTACACCAGGAGAAACAGAATCATAGTTCACAACGCGAATGAATGCCAGGAATGGTCAGTGAGTCAAAGGACCAGTCAAAAACAATCATACTTGTGACTAGAATCGTGGCTGCATTAAACATTGACTCATTGGAGTTTCAGGGGCCAAAGGACTGGCCTTTCCACCTCCCTGAGACTGTGCTTGAAAACGTCTATTTGCCACATCAGAAAGCACAGTATGAGGTCAGCATCTGGGCCCAGGACAGTTGCCTCATTCAGGTGGTGGCAGTGTAAGGAGGAGTCATGAAACAAGTGTCATCAGATTCCAGTTCAGTTCCTGGGCATACAAATATGAAGACTTCATTCCTGCCTTCAGTGTAACAAGTATTCATTGCGGTTGAGAGAGAGGGTGGAGTGTGAGACACACAGCCACTGAATTTCAAAGCAACGTGATAATGCTAGATTACGTGTACCTTTTCAACCATGTATGCCTAGAACCCAGGACTGTGCCTCATAAATAATAAGTGTTCAACAAATACTTGCTGAATGAATAAAGACAGAGTTGTACAGACACAGAGAAGGCAACTAGAGCGCTCTGGGAGTTGTAAAAGCCTCAAAGAGGAGATAACTATTTGAACTTTAGGAAGAATGAATTTAATTCCTAGGCGAAGGAGGAATAAAGACATCCCTGAATTTATATTTGTCTTTTCCAAGAAATCCATACTCATTGTTCTTTATCGAGCCGGGATCCAGACAGCAAGTACCACCTGCCTACAGTGGGCTTGTCAAGCATCAGACGGGCCTGCTGGGGCAACTATGAAAAGTGTAGTTCACGTGGAGTGTGCAAATTCACCTCCACTGTAAAAGACTTCGCTTCTGAATAAATTATATGTAATCTTTCCATCTTTTCACACCTCTAATGACTCAATTTTTTTTTTTTTTCTGGTGCAATTTTCCTCCTTCGTTCTTCAGGACGACCACCACAGATGATACAGCCTGGGTTGGGGGCAGGTAGGAGGGAAAGTAGGAGTGGTTAGAAGTCCACTGGGATGCATGGGTGGGTCCAGGGACGCTTCTGGTACAACGATGAGAGTAGTTGATTCTCTTAGGCTACAGCTTCTGACCTGTGGAAAGGGATATGTAAACACCTTAAGGTATAATCGGCTCAAGTGTTGTGGCAGTTTATTCTAGCAAAAACATCTTTATAAGCCTATGTTCCCATTTAGGGATCTAACGAGGCTCTGCTGGGATTCAGGAATGAGAGCGTTAATCTTTGCAACACTTTCTCGTCATCCAAAGAGCACACACCCTCTCAAGGCTCCTACTGAATAGTTCACTCTCGCGAGAGTCAGAAAAGAAAGCCAGGCTTTTTATTAACCCCGCCCCCAGCCTTATTAGTTACTAAGCAACGATGCTACCAGGCTCCGCGGCGCTGGGAAACTCGGGAGCTGGTGATCTCTCGGGTTCCCACTTAGACCCGCCTTCCGGAGCCCGCGTAGGCAATTGTGACCTGGCCCCGCCCCCTGGGTCCTCCAGGCCCCCGATTGGTGGATGATTCTCTCCAGGTGAGGACCGGGGCTCGAGGGGGTGGGGCCAGACGGGCTCACGTGATTTGCCGGCAACTGGAGCGCCCGCCCCGGCCACCAGCTGTCGGTTCGGTTGTGTTACTGGGGAGGCGCCGGGGCCAAGGCAGGGAGGGATCATAGGAGAGATCGTAGGGTGAGCCACAGCTGCGCAGCGCCGGGTAGGGTCTAGCGGGCTGGATGAGGGGGCTGCGTGTCCCCGGGTGAAGTGCGGGGCGAGGTGTTGGTCCCCGGGCACCGCAGGGAGCGCGGACGTTCTGGGACCGGCAGCCACAGCCGGTGTTTGGGTTGGAGGATTTGTGTGGTCAGCGGAGGAATCGTGTAAGGCTCTTGAAGCCGCAGGACCTTCCGTCCTCACCAGCCCCCTGTTGTCTGAGTTTGGGGCATGAGCTCAGGGGTTTCCCACTCCAGTTCGAATCAGGGCTTACCTCTCTTTCTGAGGTGACCTTGGGGAAGTCATTTACCACCTTAGCTCTCCGGTGTTTTTTAGACTGAATTCCCGAAGGTAATTGGGGAGAGGGTGCGGAGCAGGGCTTGAGAATGCACCGGAGCAGAAATAACGACGTGCGAAGGCTGTCTTGGGATCCAGTTACTGTTTTTCCCTCAGGGAATATGTTAGAGATTTTCCCACGTCTCTCACTCTTCTTTCTTTTCTTTTTTCTTTGAGACGGAGTCTGTCTCGCTCTGTCGCCAGGCTGGAGTGCAGTGGCGCGATCTCTGTCACAGCGACCTCTGCTTCCCTGGCTCAAAAGATTCTCCTGCCTCAGCTTCCCGAGTAGCTGGGATTACAGGCACGCACCACCACGCCCAGATAATTTTTGTATTTTTAGTAGAGTTGGTGGTTTCACCATGTTGGCCAGGATGGTCTCGATCTCTTGACCTCCTGATCTGCCCACCTCGTCCTCCCAGAGTTCTGGGATTACAGGTGTGAGCCACAGCACCCGGCCTCACTTTTTTCAAAACTGAGTCCTACTGTTAGATTGGAGTTACTTTTTGGTAATGAACTTGGTCTATTTATAACCCACCCCACCCCAACTGCTGCTACTACTCTGCCCAGATTCTTAAAACTAGAATCTGAGGTCATGAAAGAACTTCAACATGCCACTTAATTCGATGAATCTCAAATTTTCAATCTGTAAAATAAGAAGAAATAATGGTAGCAAAATCTGCCTAATTACAAGATTACTGGAAGCACTGAAGAACATAATGTCTGTAAATGTAGACTTGTAAGTCAGCATACAAATGTAAGGCTCTAGTGCAATTCTTTTTATAGGTAAGGAAACAGAGCTAGAGAAGAAGCTGTTAACTGGGAGAAACAGGACTGAACTTGACTCTTGGCCTAGGGTGCTTTTACTTATACCACACGAATCCAAAGCACTGAATTTTTTGAGTTATGTCTTCTTTCTTCCCCTTCCCTTTTTTTTTTTTT